CCATTTCCTGTCCTTCCTTTACATGTCTTTCTCCAACTAATTTTTCTTCAATCTCACCCCATCTACCCTCTCTCTCTCTCCTTCTTTCTCTCCATCCTCCGCCCATCTCCGGCCGTTCCGCCTATTCTCTCGTCGTCCGTACGCCGCAATCCGTCGTTTGAGTTTCCGGCCACCGGTTTTTGGATCCAATTTCACTCCTTAAAAACCTAACCTCACACCCCTTCTCTCTCTCTCCATTAATTATTTCTTTTTTGTTGTTGGTACTTTTTTTTTTCCTCTTTCCTTGTACGAAGACCCTTTCCTTTCTTGTCGTTTTTAAAAAACGTCTCTGTAGTCTGATTTTACCTTTTTATCCCTACCCGTTACAATTGCTCTCTACTGTTTTAAACTCTCCTGGTTCGTTGTCTGAATTCCCCTTTTTACCCCCTACGAGAGTACGCCTCCCCAAAAGCAATCCAAAGCTGATTTTACGCTTTCACCCCTTTAAAAATACCCGATGTGACGATCTTGCCCCTCAGGTTTTACTTCGTTTATTTTAATAATTTATTTGTGCTGACGTGGCAGAAATAAAGGACGCAAGATGAGTTGCCACTCTCGTCGGATATTGACACCTGGGCCCACCCGAAAGCGAAAAGAGAGAGAGGCTTCTTCCTTCTACTCATCCTTAAAACCGTCGGCTCAGGCGAAGGCTCAAGCCGCGGTTAAGCTGGATCAAGCCGGTAAGAGAGCCGACGAGCCGATGTCGTCGAACCGGCTCTTAGCCGGCTACATGGCATACGAGTTCCTGACGAAGGGCACACTATTCGGGCAGAAGTTCGATCCGGCTCGAGCCGACGCTTTCCCAGTCAGCGGCGGCGCGGGATCGTCGGCTGAGCTGAAGAGGTTGAAGCCGGAGCCAGCCGAGCCGAGCGGGAAGAAGAAGGTGGCGAAGGAGCACGAGAGTTACGCTGAGGTGGCGAGCATACTGAAGACGCCTGGGGCCCACATCCCGGGGATTGTCAACCCTACGCAACTCGCTCGGTGGATTCAGATGTGACGTGTACGGTTGTCGTGTGGGAGATGTGGTTGCATACTCGACGCGCCGGGTAGCGATTGTGTGGAGACTGGTGACGTGGCGTCTTCTCATTGGCAGATGATTTTGGTTTTTTTTTTAATCCGGTTCGAACTGTTAGAACCGCTCGAGTTGGTGAGTCCCCGTCTCCATGCATACCAGAAAAGAGAAAGAAGATGAAAAATGTTGAAAATGAAGCATCAATTCTGAAAAAGCTTCGTTAATCACTTTTATATTTTTGGTTTAAAAAGTCTCTCTAAATCTGAAATGTTCTGTTTCTCATGAATGTTTTAGATCATCTCTGACTCACTTTATATATGTGACTTCTTCTTCTTTTTTTTTTTTTTTTTTTTTTTTTTTTTTTATTTTTTTTGTAGCAGCATCGAAAAATTGGCATGGAGGCCTTTTAGATTAATGAAGTTAATTGTTTTTGTTGTCTGATTCTGTTTGTTTATTTATATTCTATTTTATTTCTTAAATATTATTTACGAGTAAATAATGCGTTGTATGCGTAGACCGATATATGTTGTACTGAAAATCGAAAATGATATGTGTGTGTGTGCGTGTGTTTATATATGAGCATGCATCATGCATGCATGAGCGTGCATGTATTTGCTGCTTTTGTGATGCGTATCAAACGACCATGATTTCACAATTTATTCCTTAGAATACATCGAAAATTTGATAGTTTCTGTTCATTTGTTTAGTTAAGATTTTTGTTGAGTATTGTTTAGCATTATTTATCTATATAAGGTGATAATGTAATCTAATATTAATGCATCTTACATGTGTATCGCTATATAATATAATTTAGTTTTGGCACTTAAAAGTGTGCCAAATGTAAGGAAGAATGCAAGTAGGTGATTCATAAAATAAACATGCGATATGGCCTGCTTTACAAGTTACACGCGGTCAAATATATATATATATATGCCCATTTTCTAATTTATTATTTTATGGTATAGAAATGAATGAACTGCTTCAAAAAGTACCAGATTTCGAGACTAACATTTACTACGATATACATGTATAAAACCATGAATTCGTATTTTTAACGCCCTTTTTTTTAGTATTTTGGTTTATGCGTGTCTAACAGCTCAATCCACGCATGAATGGAAATAACTAATAAGTTAATGGGTGTTTTTTTTCCCCTTTAAATAAGGGAAAAAAAAAAAAGAGCAGCACTTTCTTTCCCCATATTTCGTTCAGAATTACTTAAATATTCTAGTATTCCATTTAATTTCGAGGCTCTAATTATTAGCAATTTATTTCCAATATCAACTAATGGTATTGGTATTATATGTGTGTGTGTGTAAACACACACCACACACACGAGTGCTATTGGTTTCCGATTCTCCGGCCTAGTCTGCCACTCTTATTACAACTACAAGGACTCGGCTACACATTTGAGTTTGCTTTACATGTTTAGTGTCCCTGTTTTATCGTAATCTGAGGTTATTTCTTGCGCGCTTGAATACACACACACATATATATGTATGTATGTATATATTCACTCTGTGTGTGTATGTGCATGAGTAGGTATAATGAATATATGGTTTGAGTTTTGGTAATTTTGTCGTATTGACCATGTAATAATGGTGCAATAATCTGATTTCGAGGTTATTCGATCTGAAATGAAAAACTACCATATTAGTTGCGAATTTTTACACCGTTAGTTATATTTTGAAAAGACTAATATAATTCCTTAAAAAAAAAAAAAAAAAAAAAAAAGAGGACTGATAATCCTTTCTCAACCATAGTGCGATTCATCCAATAACTTATAATTCAAGATTATTTTTATCTAAGAATAATCGCATCTATAGTAAATATTTTCGAATCGTCATATTTTCTGTTGCTTTGTCTTAAAAAGATTTTGAAGTGATGTTCTTTCTGTTCTGTTTTTAACATATGATAATGTGATTGATGAAGGATCCTTTTAACATTTGCCTGTAGCATATTTCGGTCATCAGATTCTTGCACGTCAAGGCTTCGTCGACCTTGTAACTTTGGGGGTTTTGGTCCCCTTGGCGCCGCATTGCTTCTAGTGGTGTGCGTGGCGTGGTCGGTGGTCGGTAGTGCGTTTCACCCGCGCAAGTGTTGTTCGTCTTGCTCTTCATGCCGTCACTCAAGGTTGCTCTTCAATTGGATGCGTTGTTCCTGGTTCAAGATTTTTTCTTTTTTCTTCTTGTTTTTCTAGATTTTACTCTCTATTAAAGGTGTTGTCAAATCCACCCTTTTGTTTGTTTGTATTGTATGTCTAGTTTGTTGCATAATAACAGATGTGGTTTTCCACTTTTCGATATAGGTCGTGTTTGTAGAGATTTGCTTTTTTGTGAGGTAGTTTGGGTCACTCGTTTTCAGCTGATTAGACGTTTCCCACCGATATTAATCTCTCTATTTAAGTGTTTGGATTCAGAACACGGTACATGCTTCTCCCCTTTGAGTGTTCCATTCGAGTTTAGACCATCTATTGATTGCGATCGAGTTGTCCTATATTTTAGTGATTATTATATCTCTTTTGAGTTTTGAAATCCAATTTTCCCTTTAAAAAAAAAAAAAAAAAACCCCCCGAAAACTAACTTCTTGTTTTTGATACGGTTGTTTTTTTTTTTTTTTTTTTTTTTTTTTTTTTTTTTTTTTTTTTGGGGAGTGTTTTTTTTTTTTTGATATTTATTTATTTTGAAGGGGCATCGGCAGGAAGCAACTTATTGATGTTGATGAATGGATTCGTACGTTAAAATAGTCATTATGGTCTTACGGCGTGACTTCTTTATAACATAGTGATTATGACATTGTTTACCTTATATAGTTTTGGACCCTCTAATTGGTATTTTGATTCGATGCGTACTTTCCTCTATTTGGGTGAGAAGCAGCTTTTGTCCAAAACAAGTGTTTTCTTGGCGTCCTCTTGTTGACAATGTGTCTTCGATCTAGCCAATCCACTTTTTCGTAACACTCAAGTAATTAACTTTTCTCTTCCTACTTAATTGAGGCTTTCTTGTGCATTTTTCCCCTCTCAATATCTAAGCTAAAATTCCAACTTAAGTCTCCTAATTAACTTTCTATTTCAATCCTAATCCGTTGTCCCAAAATTTGCCGTTTGTTGATGCGATACGTTGGCGTAGTACCATTAGTTTTAGCTATTCACACGTATTACTTTTATGTGTAATATTTTTATATGTTAATTCGGTCAAATCTAAAATATATAAGTTAAAGAAAAATTTGAATTTAAATTTAGATGATGTTACAAAAACAAATGAGATATAATCGAGTTATTGCGACAACAAATTTCAACATTTCTTGTAAATCTTATCCGCAAAGTAAGCTCTTATGCAAAATACAAAAATATCATAAATCAAGTAAATTGACTGCAACACATTCCTGTGATACCCCCATAAATTAAACATAGTATCAAATATCACAAATTGGAATTTCCTTATAACTGAATTGCTATCTCCATTTTCATGTGTAGGATGGACCCACATTTCAAAAAATTGATAGCAAAGGTAAGTACGTGCTAATTTATAAATGTTGGCCTAATTATATAGTGTGGTCGATTCCACACACTTGTCACACACCCCATTAAGATCATGTTTATTTGAGATGATCATGATGCTTAATTAACTTCATTCAATAATCATTTTACCCTTTTACTTAGCAAACAAATTATAAGTGGTGTTACATGGAATTTCGTTTTAAGCAAAACATAGACGGTACATAATTATTAAAAGCATCATCAGTGTTTACCAGCTTTTTCCACTAGCTCCTAATTTAATTTTTATTCATTTCATATTATACAAAATATTCCAAAAACATTTTTATGGAGTGAGAGACAAAGAACCTTAATTATAAGCTACGAAGTAATTATGATTCTTATAGATCAGTAAGGAATATATGCTTCTAAAAATTGTTAATATTGCTTTTTTTTTTTTTTTTTTCTCTTTGAATCCTTCTAATTTGTAAAAACTGTTAGACGGCAAAAAGTGATCAACGTCAAAGGAACTCAATCTCTAGAGTGAGATCCAATTCAGAAAGATTAAAATACCATCAACGAATCAAAATAAAGACGAAAGGAAAGAGGGGATACAATAATTTAAAGTGATTCGGCTCAAATAGTCTACGTTCACTATGGTTATTGAGTTTTTCATTGCATTTATGAGATTATACACTTGAACTCTCTTTTACATGCTCTCTTACATTCAAGGCAAGTAAGGAAAAAATGAAAGAAGTCTTCTCTCAGAGCGAGGATCTAAACCCCTTTCTTCCCTTCCTCTTCTCGTATTTATAGAGCCATTGCCCCCGAGTAACCATCCCTCGTGGATGTAATTGTCGGTCGTGGGTGTAACCGTCCTACCCACGTCCACCATTACCGCGTCTCTTGCTCTTCTCTTAGCACGTGGCTTATCACTCTTCTCTGGACATAACCTCTGCTTCCTTTGATGATAATCCACATATCATGGGATCGCTAATGTGGTGATTCCCTTATTTCACTACGATTGTTGACGTAATTTTCCTTATTTTCCATGTGATAAATTGAGTCAGGGGGTTGGGCTTATTTTAACTTGCTCTATTTCAACGAACTTGTCTTAGGGAGTTAACTCTCTGAAGATTGACCTCGAGGCATCAAGCTCAACATACCGACCTTAAGGTTCCAAGTATAACATACCAACCTCAAGGTATCAAACCCAGAAGTACAGAGCTCAAGGTATCGAGCTCAGGGTTTTGAGCCTGAAGCATTTAGGCTAGGACATTTGGCTTGAAGCATTTGGCCTAGGGTATTTTGCCTAGGGCATTTGGCCTAAGGCATTTTGACCGCCTAGGACATTTGGCCTGAGGCATAGCCTATGGCATTTGACCTAGGGCATTTGACCTAGGGCATTTAGCCTATGGCATTTAGCTTAGGGCATTTTAGCCTAGGGCATTTGGCTTAGGGCATTTTCGCCTAGGGCATTTTGGCATGAGGCATTTAGCCTACGACATTTAGCCTAGGGCATTTAGCCTACGGCATTTGGCCTAAGGCATTTATTCTCACTTACCTACCTAGGGTCGCCCATGTCACTTATCCAGTTTAACATACTAAGTTGAAATTACTTAGCTCGACATACCCAGCTCAAAGTACCAAGCTCAGGGTGCTGATCTCAAAGTACCGAGCTCAGAGTATCGAGCTCAAAATATTGAGCTTAACATACCAAACTCAATTTAAAATTTAAATTTTTAAGTAGCCTACGTGGAATGTCACGTTAAACCTGTGATAAATTATTGTATAACAAAAACACACACATATATATATATATCTTGAGGAAACATCAGTTGCTCCTTCTAGTTACATGATTATATTTTATTTTATTTCGGTTTTTTCTTCTTCTTCTTTTCAGTATTTCCTTTTTTGTCACTGCTCGAGATGTATAGCTAATAATCACAAGCACCAGCAACAAACTAATTTTTTATAATTAATTGTCTTTTTAAGTTTTTGAGGTTGTAGATAAGGAAGATATTGTCTGATTATATGATATGGAAGCTACCATGAAAGTTTTAACAAGGAGCAAAATAGAATTTATTAAAAGGAACAATTATCGATCATTATATGTCAGTAGCAATTATCAATCATTTATATATATAAAGTTGACGAATCTATTGGGAGATTTAAACTTTAGACCTAATTAATATTAGTGATAAAGGCAAATTCACACGTAAATAATGCTTGCAATTACATATATTCTATGTGTATGTTACTTGTTATATTTATAAAAATTATGTTAAGTCTAGCACCCGTATAATACGATATGTGTAACTTTTTTTAAAATTTCCGTATAAATTATTTGTATGTGTGTAACATATTTTTACTTTAATATAATATTCAATAAATATAGTTAAATACATATAATAGTATTATACGAGTATAAAAAAAATATTACATGTAGGACCTAACAATGTTACACGTACATAGTGTCGAGGACTTAAGACTTTATCTATATATTTAATATACATTCTATGACTACAATATTATCGCCTAGTATTTGTTTGACATGACAAAAGAAGCAGCCCTATAAAAGATTTTGTTTTTCTTAGGTGGAAAGATATCAGAGAACATGGGACCGGTTTGCAAAGGATGGTATCTAATTAATTGGCATACAGCTTCCTGTTGTTGGGTAAAAATAGAGACCTGTGAAGGCACAATGTCATAGATAAGAGCACAAGAATAATTCAGCTATGGTGCCACGTCATCAATATTAAGTAATACTGATAGCAACTCTCGTACTGAGAAAAATTGAGTAATCTCTTATCAAATTAGTGAAATTCTCACTTCCTTTTTACAGTGGATATAGTTCTTAAATTAAGAATAAATTATTATAAATCTTCGTGTATTCTTATTTTTGTTTATATCAATACAAATCATATTAATTTATCTTAAAATTTATTATTATTCTATTGATAAATTTTCATCGCCAACACAGCTTGTGTTTTTTGGATACATATGAGTTACGAAAAATATTTGTGAATCGTAAGTACTAGTAGTAAGGTCATATGACAGTGAAGAAGCATCCAATTCCTCTTTCATT